TTTCTCCACACATAGCGTTGTGTGTTCCTTCCAAACAACTCAACTTTGGTTTCATCTGTCCACAGAATATTTAGCCAGTAGTGCTGTGGAACATCCAGGTGCTCTTTTGCAAACTTCAAACGTGCAGATCAGAACACATTTTATGACCAACTTATGCAGAAATCCAGGTAATTCCAAAGGGTTCACATACTTTTTCTTGCAACTGTATGCTAATTTAGCTCTTGCGGACCATTTTGATCGTAAGAAGAGTACTTTCGGTTTTAATACTTTATGTACGTTTTGCTGATAATATATCTGTACCCTATGATGCCACCTTTAGGGAACAACTAGCACATGTAAAATGACACACACAGACACAGACACAGATAAGGCTGTTTGCCATCTTCTCCCGGCTCTTTATGAACCTGTCGGCTCAAATCACAGTCTCAAATGCCTCCATATCTTCTCTTCAAGTCAATCAAAATGTACCAGTCATCACCTCCCTGCTGCCAGGTGACAGCCTCACTCCAACTCCACATCTTCACTGACAGAACCAAAGCATGTTTTCAATTACTTCCTCTCATGAAAGCTGCACAAACATTTCTCCAAAAATGTAACGTCATGGGTAATATGTTTTCAATTGCAGTTTTTATTAACGCTGTCAAACATTTTTATTGGTAAGATTTTCACAATGTTGATTGTCTGCTTAAATGACGTAATACTTTATGATGTTCTACAGCTCAATATAATAGACTTGTAAATGTGTCATCAGCTTTAAAGTTATCTAGTAAAACTTGACCACAGTATTAATGAAAAAGTGACACAGAGGTGATGTCTTATCTCATTTTATTTTGAGTTAAAACAGATTGTGTTGTTGGCTGATCAGATGATAACTTCAACTGTTAGTTATGTTTCTATTAGTTCTGTCATTTTGACAGCGAGGATCTTTGCGCATATGTATCATCATCATCGCTGATGCCTCAGACCCACTGCATGTAAGCACAGGTTCTGGCCACAAAGATGCTTGTTATGTTATAAACTTGACAGGACTCGTAACCAAAGCTATTTTAGCTTACCATCACAAATTGGATTCTTAAAAAGCTTGGACAAATGGAGAAACAATAAGCTCACAATCACACACAACCACTAAAAACAAGAAAACTATCCAAAGTGAAAACCTTTTCAGTTTGATTTAGGTTTTGTATTAGTTTAAATTGGTTCCTCTTTGGTTACAAACAACATGGCAGAGTTTTCAGTCTGAAAAAGTAAGTAGACCACATACAAATACTTACTTTAGATGGGCAGTCCTCATTGTGTTCCAATGCAGTAAATCATTAAGGTAATGTTCTGTTTAAATAAATCCATATGTTCTTTTTGGTGTACTCCTATGTATCAGTTTACCAGTATGTTCATAATTAGATGCACACAGAAGCCTGCGCTATAATGACTTGATGTAGCTGAAGGCTTGTCGACTATCATCCATCCATCAATTCTTTATTTTCAAAGCCGAGCCTTGTTCTCTTTATCCTGCATGGCACAGTTACTCTGCCGGATACATTACCTCCTCTAGATAGGTTGCCAAAGTGTAATCCGGCTTGTGTAGAGCTGGCAGGTTGGACTCAGATGGATGTGTGTAAATAAGTAGTGTACTCCTGCTTCTTTATTGTGCTGGTTCCCATTAGAACCCAATAGCCTGAGGAGGAGAGAGGACAGCTTGATTACTCCTGGCCATGCTTTTCAGAAAAACATTGATCCACAAACATTTGGTTATGTGTAATTGGTTCGTGCCTCTCTGTAAATGTTTTAGAAGTGAAGTCATATTGTATTCTTGGAGACAGAGTGCATGTGTGTCCTTATTTGCTTGTATATAATATATACTAGCAAATAGGGACACATTTATTTGCTCGTATATAATAGCAAATAGTGACACACATGCACAAGTATTGTTTTTGAATAGGCCTTTTTAAATTGACACATTTTATAAACATAATATTGGCGCATAGCTGTGTCTGGAAGCATTAGGGTTTTTTTCTTCAATTATTTTGCATGCGCAAGGAGGTGTGTGTGTGTGTGTGTGTGTGTGTGTGTGTGTGTGTGTGTGTGTGTGTGTGTGTGTGTGTGTGTGTGTGTGGGTGTGTGTGTGTGTGTGGGTGGGTGTGTGTGTGTGCATACATATGTGCCAGTGGGTGGTGTGTGTTCCTCTGCTCATTAATACCATGTGGAGCTAAGTAGCAGTAGACTGCTGTTGAGCTTCCTGGCTAGATTTAGAAAATAAATCGGCAGCACACAGCTGGTCTGAACTGGTACTGAGAAGCTCGTATAGTGATATATCTTCAGGGTTCAAATATCAAGCAGAAACCACATTTTACAGCAATCCATGAGTGACAAAATACGTATAGGTTAACCAAAAAGTCTCGCAGGTGTTCAGTGAGCGTTGGCTTGTGTATTTTGAGTCAAATCCGTCACTTTGCCCCCTGTTTGTTTTCAGTAAAACATTTATAGTGGTTTTAACGTGACTCCTTATTACGCCGCTGTTAAACAGAAAACCATGTAAACAGCGTCAGGTTTCATAAGGTCTATGGTTGTTTGACTACTGAGGGCCTCGTGCTAACCATGACCTTTCCTGTGATACTGACAAATGATCAGAAGGTGCTTCATGTAACATTTTTGATTGATTTAGGGATTTTAACCCCCTTCTCATTGACACACGCCATCCATCTCATGAAATTAAAATCCCCACAAAAACAGCAGTGATTAATGTAACCTGGGAGCTGTAAAGTTCAAGGGAGCCAAGTTAATGCAAGGGTCTTACTGTAAGTTACCTTTACGAGGAGCAGAAATGCTGAGGCACCAAATATCAGTCAGACATATGCCAGTCCAAGCGTCTCCCTCATCCATTACCCTCCACTCTCTCTCTCCTCATTGGTCCCCATTTCATTTCTCTGTGTTGTCATTGGCTGGCCACCTCAGAGTGTTCTGAGACCATTGGCTGTTCAGTGTGGTCTATGAATGGCAGAAGAACAGGAAATTAGGTTCCTATCCTGCAGTGAGCCGTGCTGTAAACTCACAACAGCTGTGTTGGATCTTTCTGCAAAAACACTGAACCCCTGTACTGCATCTTCCCCTCAGACCCTCGAAATCTGGTCCTCTTTTAATACATCCTTGCATTCTCTTTCCCGTAAACCAACTTTTTCATACCCCTTCTTCGCCTCTCAGCCACAAATTCCCCCTCAAATGACCACATTCTCTCACATTGTACCCCCCAGACCCCATTATTTCCCCCCCTGTTGCCCCCCAGGATTCCCCGGCAGCCTTGCCTCCCACTCTGCAATCCTGACTCCCTTCCCCCCCCCCTACAGCGCTATGCAGGAGTCCTGTAACTATACAATGTGAAGCCTGCAGTTAAACGCCGTGGAATAAGAGTGGAAGTGGGCCTCCATTATCATATCAAGTCTAGAGTCTTGTAAAACATGCTCCTGATGTTAAGCAGGTGAAATGTTACCCATGATCACAATCTTAGTTTAGCGTGTCGGCAACACAATGTAAAGCAGAGGTTGATGTGAATGTTGGAAACATTTAAATGTTTATTTGTGTATCACTTTTTCTTAATGATATAACAAAGTGCTTCACAAAAATGGCATGGCAATCCCTTCACAAATATCTACATCATGGTGGCTCTAAAAGAAAACTTGGGGATCAACAAAGTCTACAGTATACATCATCAGGGGACCATGAATGAACCACATTTTTGGTCAATCCAAAGCTAGGACCTAACTTCTGCAAAACATGAATATCTAGTATGTCAACAATTTCAAGATAACCCAGTTGTTGAGATATTTCAGTCGAGACCTAAGAAGTGTACTAAGCAAAAGTCCAACAGACTGACATTAGAATTAGAATTTGAATGTGACGGTCTTCTTGTAGATATCTCACAGAAATTCATGATCCTTGTGTTTTTCTCTCAGCACCCTGGAGTCCTTGGACCTGTCCTACAACCGGTTCACCTCTGTCCCGATGAATCTGCCACGCCGTCTCCAGAAGCTCTCCCTCCAACACAACAACATCAGCCACATCACCGCCTTCACCTTCCGTCACATGCGGTCGAGCCTACAGTCCCTCGGTCTATCCCACAATGCCTTGAGCAATGAGGGCTTAGAGCGGGTCTCTCTTGTTGGAGCGTACCGCTCACTGGGTGAGCTCCTGCTGGACAACAACCATCTGAGTCAAATCCCTCGCTGCATTCGCCAGTTTAAGAACCTGAAGTTGCTGAAACTAGACAACAACCAAATCAGGTAGAGTCACATTTTGTATACATTTGAATGAGTCTAATGTGTTTGTCACAATGCAGGGATAAGCCAAATGCTTGTTTGTTCCCCAATCCTGTCCTAACAACATTAGCTCTGCTTATGCAGCTCCCTTTGGAAAAGAATCTAAGGAGCTTGGCAAAAAGCAAAGAAAGATATCATGGCACATTCAGTGTCATTTATTCAAGCCAACAGTTTGACATCCTCATCAGCATAAAGATGAAGACAATGACTATTGTTGCCAAAAATATTTCTTTCTCACTGTCTGCAAACTTTACAAGACCCTGTGTCCCCTTTGATCTAATGTAGTAACACAAAGGCTCTTGTAGAACTCAAAATACTTATTGTGCATTTTATATGGGGAGACTAACAAAATCACCAAGCGTGGAAGGAAAGTCCTATGTAAAAACTTAAAGTACGTATGTTGTGGTTGCAGGCTGGTGAGGAAGTGGGGAGTGTGCCACCCTGGAAATACTGACTCCACCTTGGCTTCCATCCACTTGGAAAACAATCTGCTGGAGGTGGAGAAGATCCCCCCAAATGCCTTCTCCTGTCTCTCGGATGCTCAGGGCCTGGTCCTCTATCCACAAAAGGGGCACTCGTATCACAAATAGGCTGCAAAGTTGGACAAACTAAGATGGACAGATACATTCCCAAATACATGTACATGCATAATCATGGCATACAGCCACTCAATATTTCTGTAGGCAGGGTCTACAGAAAAATATCTCTATCATGTTGTTTACTTAGTCAGTCAGTGCTATCATGTTATCATTATTATTGTCTTTCTCTTTCACTTCTCACCTTTGATTAGGAGAATAACAGTGATGTGTTTGTATGCAATGTACACAGTAATGGAAAGAATCATTATGTAAAAGGTTAATAGTACATGACGGTTGTTTCCAGATCTGCTCCAAACACCGGCCTATATCTGTCATTTCATTCAAGTAAGTGACACCTTTGAGGAAATGGAGAATAGCTTAATCTAGTCTCAGTCTGGGGCTTGCAGGTGGAGCCTTTAGTCAGGTAATGTAGAAACAATGTGAATGTGTTTTGATTTGGGACACAGGGGGGTCAAATCTTGGGACTGCAGCACGGGGGTCACTGAGAGAAAATTAAAATATCTGGTGACACAGTGGGAACCTAAGGGGCCCATTAGGAAAGAAAATATAAACATCACGTAGGTTTCCTATCACCAGATGATTTCCAACATAAACATCCACCACCAGCCGCTCAGCAAAAACACATAAAGCCACTCTGACTGTGAGGGGAGCGGGGAGGTGCCTCAGTTGGGGCCTACAAATGTGTATGAGTGTGTTCAGTAATTGGGGTGAAAATATGTGTTCATGAGAAGACTGGGGCTGCACCTTATTTGGGTTAGCAGTAGGGTTGATGGTACAAAAAGGGGAGGAACATGCTTATCTAAGGCACGGAGTAAAACAAGCTGACTTTGAGGCACAATAAAGCGATTGTTCTTAGAAAGTCTTTAAGCCGATCAGTTAAACATGAGAAGAGCAGCAGTTCACGTGTATTTAGGTCCAATAGAATGTGGCTGGAAGACAGAAACAGAGAGCTGGAGCACATCGACAGATCTTTTGGGAACTAAAGCCACTGAAGCTCTGTCGTCCTGCCAACCTTGTTGACAAAGTGACTTCCCGGACCACAATGTTCTCTCCTTCTCTATCTTGGTGTCTCTCGCCACATATCTCACTTTCCATCTTTTCCTGTTTATCCCTCATCTTCTTGCACAGTAAAATACAATGCCCCATTCTTCTGTCTCAGCATACAGTATCTATGATCTCAGCCCCTTGAGTCTTGCGGTGTGAATGAGAGCCATGCCTGTTACATTTCTGTATTTTAGATTGCCTTAATGCAGTCTTGGTGAGAACATAAGAGCCAAAAGAAAAAGACATACCCTGTTGCACTCTCCGTTATTTGTTTTATGACATTAAGATGCCCGTTATTCACAATGTAGTGAGCTGCTTTACACCAAATCCTGATAAAACAAACAAATCTGTATTTGCAGTCTCACCCACAGATACAAAATATATTTTATGAAGGCTGATGGAAGTGCACTAGTGTCTTTTAATTTTTTAATCCACTCGTGCAAAGACACACTTAACAGTATGTCACTTAGACTAATGGATATAATTAAAATTACAAAATGTTGTACACAGTGTACAAAGTCCAAATGTACAGGCTGCATTTACTATCTGGCTCCAGGTATACATTTTCAACAGAGAGCAAAGCCTCTGAGGCTCTAAATGAAGAACAGAAGGTCCCCTGCAGACGCTAGAGTTACACACTCAGAGGAAGAAAGGGAGGGAGAGATCGACAGTTAATAAGAAAGAGAGAAAACGAAGTTGGGTTATTGAGAGGCAAACAGCTGACAGTCAACAATGTTATGAGAGCACATGCATGGTTTGAATGTGTAATATAAACACACACAGAAACACTTTTATACATTTCACTCTCAGCCTGGCCCTGTAATCACATGTTAGATTTCTGCTTTCAGTCTTGTGCATGTGGTGCAGTCTCCATTCTCCATAATTGTACAGTCATTTAGCAAACAGCACATTACTGTCTAAGAAACTACACATTCGCATTTATACTGCAGTTCCAGCACGTAAAGGCAGAGACGATCAAAACTGCATCACTTTTCTTTCGGCAGTTTCCCGTCTTTGTAGTCCTGAACAGATGAATGATCCAGCCTTGATCCTAAATCTTTAAACCTCCTCTCCACAGCTATTTCAGATGGGGTGTTTTGTCAAATTTGACAAGCTTGCCACTTCAGTACAATCCATCATAGCACATGTGACACAACTAAACTGTTAAACTGACGTCTCATCACACCCAAAGGATGTTTCGAGTCCGGTGAAGCTGAGGCCAGAGCCTGAGAGGTTGACTTTACTGCGGTGTTTAGCTTTTTCTTCTCCCATTCTCTGTCTGTCCAACCAGGACACAGCAGCTTCCTCTGTTATTGGAGGATGTCTGGCTGATTTAATCAAAAGTACACACACAGTGAAAAGCAACAAAAAAAAGTATTTTCCTGACTTAGGTTCGCGTCAGACATTAGCAGAGACAGTGAGGAAAGGAGAAAGCTGGAGGGTGGAAGAGTGAGGACAGTCTCTTTGCAAGAACATGAGATTGGGTTCCAGTGTTAAGGGTCAACTATTTGGGGTCAACAAGAATGTGCTTACTGCACATTGCAAGAGAACGAACCGCTCGGCCATCAGCCTGATGTGCTGATCCTTGATAGCCAGCAACATTAATGACTATGAAGTAAACTTTGATTAGGCTTATATCCAAAACCCCAGAAATAACACGATGGAGCATTTTGTTTCTTTCCTCTCTCTTGCACCCAATCTGAAGCAGCACCTAACCAAGAGCTCACAAGTGGGTGTGCTAGAGACACGTTAGCTGAACACTTGTAGGACTAAAAAGAGTTTAATTTAGATGCCAAGCCCTCCAGCTATAGACCAACACCATAATCAAGTGAACCACAGCGAGAGAGAGAGACGGGCAGACAGAGAAATGAAGAGTGAGAAACGGAGGGAAAGACTAAATCTACAAAATGAGGGCGAGAGGAAGCAGACTCAGTGAGAGGAGGAATGTTATCTGCAAAGGCCTTTATCAAAACTCTGACTCCTGCCAACACCCCTGCAGGGCATTGATGTGTGGATACTGCACTCTTTGAGAGAAAGAATGCCATATAACCGAACAAAACAAAATGCAGGATTGCCAGTGCTCTCTTGCATTTAAATGATGAGGAAAAATATTAGGATTTGATGCTTGATGCTCAAGGTACTGAAGCAGCAGAGCTCGGGATATCGTGTAGATAACTGTTCAAGTCTGTGTGGCAGACTTTGTGCAGGGTCGGAAAAGTTCCCAGATGGTGAGGCTTGCCAAACTCGCTGCCTCACTCTGGGTGTTGGCAATATGGAGAGGAAATCAGAGAGTTAGTGAGAAAGAACACTTTATCCTGCCAAAACAACATTTAATAGAAAACCAAGAAGATGCAAAAAGAATATGTTTTATAATCACAGTCCTACAATTACCTTTTCTGTATTATTTTTGGTGGAGCTGGGTGGTGTTCCCCCTCTGTGTTGTGACATTAAATAGTGGCTGGTTAAAAAAAACTTGCTCTGCAAACAGAATAATAAAAAATCCAGCAATATGAGGCAGAAATATCCAGTTTGAGCTTCCACAGAAGTATAAAAGCTAAAAGAATGACATGGGGTTTCCCTGGAATATCTTCACAGACCAACAATGTAATACAATTACGATGAATATATGAAATATAAGATAGAAAGAAATAGTGAAAGATAGATAGAAAACCGGTTTTCCTCTTCAGGAACATACATGGTCTTTACAGGGCCACAGTAACGTTGCTCTGCGTCCCCATGCTGCCATGTGTTAGCACATGTTTTGCTACAATTACTTAAGGGGTAAAATTACAATGTCTTTCATCTAAATTGCCTTCAAAAGCAATTTGTCTTCAAAAGCAATTAAACATGGCAGTTACAGACCTCAGACACAGTTGAAATACAGTGCACTCTCTGTCCTTATTTCCTTACTAGACACCACCATGTTATCACTAGGACATTTTTTGTTATAGTTATCCAGACTGTGTACAGAAATAACAGGAACCCCAGGGAAAATTGTTATTAATAATATATCTTACCCAAAATCAATCACATCATATTTGCATGATTTTATTTTAATAATAAAATAATAAAAATCGAATTAATGATTATAGGAGTAATATAACACAATTCGTCCTGTAGCACTGTATAATAGAAGTGCTGCACTCAGGCCTCTTTCCCTACACACACCCCCCTCCCCCCCCGTCTCTTTCCTCAATCCAAAAAAGGGGAGAAAGGAGGCTGGCTCCTTAACTTTATGGGCTTGACCCCCCCTGCTCCCAGTCATTTCGTCGGTTGGGACCGGAGCGAGCACACACGGTGACGGTCCTTAGTGACGGAGGAGCTGCGGCTGGATGCATGAGGACCAGAGAGAGACAGTGCAAATATCCCTCAATGTGATGAGAATATAAGACTTTTTTAAAATTCTGTAGGATAAACTGACGCACAGAAGGAGACACCTTGATTTTTTTGGGGACTTAATATCGTGTTTTTGATCCACAAGGTAGGGGTGATGGGTCTTTTAAAATTATGTAATGTGTTATTCAGTCTTTTAATATGCCACTTTTTTCTCCATAGACTGAATTTCACTTGACAATATAATAATAACAGGACAAGTATGCCTACTGTGCCTTCATGTCTTGATACTTTGAAGTATTAGATTTAACCTAATGCATGTTGTTCACATTTTGTATACTTTGCTAAGATTCATGTCGCCAACTTGTATACTTTCAGTTAAAGTTCTCACAGTGTTTGTAGTGTGTACTTGGGTAGGTTATTTTATTTATTTTCCTCCTCACGATTATTATATTTCAAATACTATCCGCATCACAAAATACAACCTGTTGCATAGGGCTTTTGATGCTGTAGTTATCCGATCAGCTGTTACTCCTGAGTTACAGCAGATGGCGCAGCCAGTCTCCGCAGAGCGCTCACAGTGAGCGGTCATTAGTGGCAGAGAGGATAATTAAGCAACACTTTTTCTTTCCACTCACTTTATCCTCTAATCAACGCGACCCTATTCTCTCTTATCAGACTGTAGATTTATGGGCTCTATAAAGTCCATCCCTGCATCGTCATTTAGGGAGAATAATTATAGTGAAACGTGCCAATCAAGTAAATAGCTCCTTCTGGTTCTCATCTGCGCTACCCTAATATTTAGGCTCTGTGTACACAGCATTCCTATTTTGAATTATGTCTGGGAATTTGAGAAACGTTATTTGCCAGGGAGATAATTACAGCTTGCTGTGTTTTTGTGTTCACTAATATAAGGCAAACAAACAAGCATTTGATTGACTCTCTCTCTTTTCCCATACTCTCCTGTGCTGATGAGTTCATGAGCAGCATTTGTCAACTACCGTTAGAACTGAGTCACCTTACTGTAAAAAGACATTGCAAACAGTGTCTGTCTGTGGAGTGAAAATGATGGTGTACATCTGTCTGTTTCCGGACTTTCCATCCTGCCTGCCTATTAGCCAGGCTGTGGGTTGACCACCTACACCTGCCTGTCTGTCTGTCTCTCTACAGTAACTACTTGTGTGTCATTTGGTCCCAGTTTAAACTTAAACTTAATTATTTCTCTGTATCTTCTTTGATCAGTTTTACTTCACTTTTATAATGTTATATTGTGTCCTATTTGAGCCCTGCCTCTGTTTTGACAATAAAATGTGGTGCTTGTTCCCTTATGGTAAGTTAAAACATAATGTTTACAGTGTCTATTCAAAGCCCACTTATAACTTGCAGACGCTTAAAAATGCTGCACATTATTTCAATGGGACTCATCTGTCCATATGGCATGGATCCTCAGGTCAATTGTCTTATTTGGCAATTTTTTTGCTTGCCTCTCTGTTCTACTCTGGGTTGGGCTTGTCTCTGCGGTGTTGAGCAGCTAGCCACCACATCCAAGCATCAGAGAAGCTGCCAAACAGTTCCTTTTTTAGGCAAAGCAGTCACCAAATTACAGCCGCTGGGGCAGTTAACTCCACCCGAACGCTCCTATGGACCCGCCTAGCACCAACAGCCTGTGTGTGTGTGTGTGTGTGTGTGTGTGTGTCATGAGCAAGTGAGGGAGTTCATCCAAATGACCAGATCA